GGGTCAAAGCCCATCCTCATTAATCCATAAGGAAGGCCTGAGTCCCTGCAGTGGGGACATAAAAGGGCCGATGATGATATTGATACTTTGCTTTAAAAAGTTAATAATATAATACAGTATATCTATTATTTAAATATAATAAGTTTTTCTCCTCATTACAATCTCCCCAAGCATATATTTTCCATTTTTCAAAATCATTCATATTCGTTATTATATGTAATTGGGTGACCTAAAGACGGCGGTAGCCTTTGGTCACCGAATTAAATATATGCACCAAAAATTCAATCGGTCAGGTTATTCGGCTGCAACAGATAGACAACCAATCTAGTAGTTTTCCTTTTTTGGTACGGAACCCTAAAGAAAACTGGCTTTGAAACATATCTATAAAACCGAGAAATATTAAATATTGTCTGGTTATGAAATATTAAGATCGATTCAGATGATCCAAGAACTAATAAGAATTTCACACAAATAGACGTTTTTTTTTATTGATCCATTCGATTCGAGTATAAAAAACGCTCAGAACAAGCAACAAATTAGTTAGCACACAAAATCGAAAAGAATTATGCCTGGGTAAAAAAGGGAATTTTATTTAGTCCGTCAGTTAGATAATAGACAAATATTACATAAGTATTTTCTATGCTTCAATTTAACAAGAAAATGATTAGATAATAGGAATTAAAGTTGAAGAGTGGGGGCTCACTTCGTCATAACTATGTAGAATATATATAAAGGTGTGACGTCATGCGTATTTCAGCTCAGTGTTCCACAGTATTTTATTGATCACACAAAGAATACGGGCTTAATATTATTTAATAATCTACCTGACGAGCAGCTTCAAATTATTAGTCATATCTAATTAGGTTTATTAAATAAACAAAAGTTAATATAGACAGTCATCATATAATTAGGTTTATTAAATAAATCGAAGTTAATTTAGTTAATAAAAACAATATTTGCTTCGAGAATTACAACAAATGAATCATGTTTATTAGACTTTCAAAGTTTAATGTAATACAATAAGCACTTTAATTAAAGAAGAAACACTTCGGAATTAATTGATAACAATTTTTAATATGCATACAAAGTTAATAATGAAACATTTTTTACGCGTCCTATTTCAATAAATACAATTAAATGTAAATCAAACTATGTTCATAATGGAATTACCTAATATTTTTATCAAATTAATCAGGACCAAAATCTCTAGGTAATAAAATTTTCATCTAAAGAGATTCTTTATCTTAAAACTACCAGCTTTTTGTTACCTACATCAATATCTATCCAGTTATGATGTTTTATCAATTTTGCTTTCACAATGCTATACTAAAAATATTCTTAATGAAAAATGCTTAAATATGGACATGGTTCGAGTCATGGGATCATGGGAGCTTTCGTAATCCGGGCGACTACTCTAACCACTGAGCTATTCATGACCTAACAGAACTGACGAATTTTCTTTATCGAAAGTTTAAATTGTTGTAAAAATATTTCTTGCGGCTGTTTGGGTGAATTGCCGGAACATTGATAAAAAAACGCTCTGTAGTAGCGATTGCAAAAGCTTCAAGTCTCGTCTCAGAGTGCCAGGTACAATGTAAGTAAGCATCCAGTTCCTAAATTCTTTTGAATAGGTCTTAATAAAAGAAACTTTATTACACTAAAAAGAAAAATGTTTAAACACAGATTTTTCATTTATACATTAAAAACAAACAAGGTTTAGCGTCGAAGTAAAACGCTAATATACCTTAGTATTAACCAAAATTCATATTTATTAATAAACAAAGACCAAGCAAGGGTTAAACTTTATAACCTACAGCTAGTTATAATACGGAAATCATATTTAGGTGGCTACTTCTCCTATATAAAGGGTTTGTTTAGTCTTTATTTCATAATATGAATATTGACTAATACAATGAAAGTTGCATAAATAATAATATGTTACATAAAATTGTAATAACGTTTGATTAATATTCCGATACAAAGGACCTTACAAGTAACTAATGAGTCTAGCACACAGAAGGTTTCATATGATTCCTTCCAGCCTTAGTCGTTAGCATTAAAGTTATTACATCACGACTCACAATGATATCACATACATTCATTGTTCGATTGTTATTATAAATAATAAATATTACTTTCTTTATGACATATCTATTATAAAAGTAGCTAGTTTCATTATCATTATTTTTAGTTGGTATGTTTTAAAAAAAATCTGTATGAATCTGTCTGAGAAGCAAACCCGATGAGGAAACTTTGGAATATGTATCGAAGATTTTAAGCCATTCTACCGTAGGTTCTTAATAGACAAAACGAAAATATTAAAGTAATAACACAATAGATAAACACAAGTAATAAAAATCGAAATATGAGTCATTTTATAGAGGAATCGCATGAGGAGATGTATCCGGAGACGAGACAAGAATTCACAACCATTTGCAATCCGAGCGACTGCTCTAATAATTGAGTCAACCGAGACCTAACAAGACTGACGAATTTTTCAAGCAATTGTTACTTTACGTGACTACAGAGCGAATTTCTATCAATGTTCAGGAAATTTCACACACACTGCTGAAAGAAATATATGGTATATAGCAGGGGTGGCCAACTTGTTTAGACCCAAGATCGACTTTTCACTGACGATACCCAGTACGATCTACCAATAACTTTACTTTTTAAAATCTTAAATGAAACAGCATAGTTCGTACACAATTATGTAGCATTTTGATTTTATTTATGTTTTTTTAATTGCCACGATCGACTGGTTGCCCACCTATGGTATATAGCATTGTAAATGCAAAATTGATTGAATATAATATTTGTAAAATTTTAAATAGAGTGAGAACTTGTAACTAGTGCTTTTGGTTTTATTGTAGAATTTAAAATATACGGAAATGAATGTAACATGCACTGAACTGAAAGCACTGAAGCTTAATATTTTCAATCAAAGGAACTGAGATTATGTCATAACTTTACCGTATTACCAATATTATTTTTAAATTAAAAGCCAGTTTTGGTGAATAGTTAACGAACGATTCACTAAAGAAGACAGAATGTTCAAGTATTAAAAAACTAATGAAGCAGTAGTGTATTTATGGCTATGCTGCCTCAAAAAGGTGTTCACTTCCCGATTGCTATGAGAGGCGGGTGACCTTAACTTATCGCGCGCTACGTCACACTGCTTATAAGGAGGCAATACACTGCAACATACCTACCGATACAATTATATACGTAGTCATAACTAGTGAAGAAATGAAATACTAATGTTAGGCTCCTTTTACTAGGTGATTTAGGTGCACCGAGCCTTAGTCCTTTTTCTACTGCTAATGTACATCATTGTGAATTCTCTTCTTTGTTTTTTTCATTCTGTTAATATAATGGTGTGTACTGTAGTTGTTGAAATGAACGTTATAATTTATTCTAACGACACAAGACACCCACAAACTAAACCCTAATTGTAATGCGACCTTAAATACGGTAGCAGTCTTTTCAACTTTAAATAAAGGAACTAATCAGAATGGCCATTGGTCATACAAACTAAATAGATACAATTTTTTTATATAAAATTTGAGATTGGGGTAAAATAATGTTATGAAATAAAAGTAACATAACATGCCATAGTTATATAATTCTTGATTAGGTCACAGAAAAAAAATAGTGAATTCCAAAGACAATACCTATTTTTCTTTTGTTTTGGTAATCAAATGAAATTTATTGAAAACTTGATGAGAAAAGTAACGCTCATAACTTTATTGGTTAGTGTAAAATCTCCTTTATTTTAGCCACGACGCAGTATCGCATACTTTAGAACCATGAACAAAATATTTAAATTTACAATATAAATATAAATGAACAGCCATTTAAAGCGAATGTACTAATTACTAAGTAAACTGTTTACTTTCAGTTAAATTATTATGGGTATTTGTTAAATATGACAAGACTAGTATTATATTTTCTGTCACAAATATGAAATATTGATATATTTGTTAATGAATAATGTTTAATTTATTATTACCTCCAAATAATAACAATTTATATGATTATAAATCTAATTATTTATACTTTTACTTGTTGTTTTATAAGATAAGTCAGATAATCTGTTTAGATACTTTTGGTTATTTACAGTTTGTTTATAAAAAAACTATGTTTTCATAAACTTACTTTGACGTGCTTTTACGTTAGAAATTCAAATATATGCAAACCTACCGCTGAATAAATTTAATGCATTTATTTCAGTACTGATCTTAGCAATAAATAATTTTATTACACCTAATTATCAATTGTTTCCATAAACTTATAATACCTAGAACACAATTTGAAAATTATACTTTTTTATTATAAAACGCACTTATATCGTTCGCGATACCCTTCATACGCGAGTCAACACACACTTGGCTTGAGCAGTTTTATTACATTTATAGTCTATACTGGACTGAACTCTTATTTTTGAAGCATTGTTTTTAATTAAAATACTATAATTTTGCAATTTCAAAGCTTGGCTTCACCATTTTCTACGAAAATTTCACATGAATTGACACTCAAAAAATATAGTTTGTACATGAGTAGCACTAATAAAATATAAATTTTACAAAGTAAAAGTAATATAAAAAGATTATAATTATAGGCATAAAAAGTTTTGATATAATATAACTTAGGTCAAGATCAAAGATCAAGGTGCCAAATTCAAGAAAAGACAACGGTTTCGATGATAGGTATGGTACATACCCTAAGTCGTTGAAATCTTTTGTATAGGGTTAATAGAAGCAATTGATGTGATCAAATTAATAAGAAACACTTTCGAAGCTGAATTATAGCAAAATCGTTAATCCGAATTTCCCGACTAAATGGGGACCAAATCGCTTGAAATGGGTACCGAAATGACATTTTCCCTACCGTTATAAATGGAAACCCCCTAATTTCAGCAGTCAACGCTATAATAATCTCATCTTCGGTAGCAAAATCGGTTTATTTCCTTCCGAGCTGTATTACGAGCGAATCGGTCGACAGTCGTAGGAGGGCGCTCGAGTAGACAGCACGTCGGGCTGCGCCGTCTCCGCCCGCCACCGCTCCGTCACGCGCACCGACCCGACGAACATGCGGCCCGCCGTCACCGAGTAGACTCACCCGCTTTCTACTCCCGAACGGTACAAACGCGACCGTCTCTGATCCGTTACGTTGTTGACATGTTTACGTTTACCCGATCAGTAAAGTTTTCTCGGCCGGCACTAATTGAATAGTTCGTATACGCTCCGGCCGAACCGTTGCGAAACTGTACAAGTGAAGTTTAAAAATACATTGGCACTAGTATAGAGTGACGTACGAGATGTGTTCGTGCAGCAAATTCTATGACTTCTGGAGAAACTCCTGCGGTGCAGGTAAGAGCATCTGTGTTATGGACAGTGATCATGAAATACTCGTCTCGGATTACTTTAACCTGTCTTGAGGGTTCAACAAAACCGTGTTTTTTTTTCTATACATATCTTATTTATTTATACGTAACTAATTAATAACTGGCGATTATAAAATTTACATTAAAAAAAATCAGGTTTATTTTCAAACTCGCTTTTGAATCTGCTACGTACTAAACACACTTTTCATTAAATAGCTATATGTAAACCACGAAATCATCGTTAAATATAATGCTATTAACGATTTATATTGTAAAACCAGAACTGACAAAACGACAACAGACACAAAGAAAATAAAATGGCTTTTAAAGCAAGTTACTAATAAAAATAAAAGTATAAGTGATTTTTTTCATATAAGCCCTTTACTGATTAAATTATCGGACTAAATAAGCGAAGGTGTCAAGGCTAGTCTCACTGCAAATGAAAGATTTAAAAAAGTATCAATAATCTACGTTCATTTTAAAGCACTGAAAATAATCTTGGCAACTCAATGAAACACCTATAATACGTGAACCAAATCTGACGTTATTAATAAATCCACACTTTCAGATAGAATGTATCTAAACGTTAAAAAGTTTGAAGGTCAATTTACGAATAAAGCAACGGCTAAATCAGCATAAAAATATTCTCAAGTGAGTCTGCTTCATTCGTTTTATTATATACCGATAATAGTTATCATGACCCGCTGACATTGCTCCTTGTTTAGTCCTTCCTTAGTGACCGCATCGTATTACACCTTGACATATTAACCGCAAATTATCCCGCAATAGTATTGTTATTCCATATCATTGGCGATATTCTATTTCCCACAATGATATTATTGATACGATTTGCAATTTACTATCCTAAAGTAACATGAGTGATAGACACCAAAATGCTAATGTAAACTATCATTTTCTTTGTTGATTTGTTTTTCTGCGATGATTTTAACTTTATAGAGTAGTTTTTAATATTATCAAATAATAACAGCATTTCGTTCATTCTTTGTGCTCCCTACTTCACTTAAATCGTCTTCTGTGAGGTCTCGGAAGTCTGACTTTAATTGTGTGAGATCACAATCTGAGCTAGCTGAACCAATTGAGCCAATTATTATTATAGAAGACGGTACACCATTCGCATAGATTAGAGTATGTACATATACAATTTCGGCATAAAATATAGAATATAGAAGCTAAATGATACACATTTATTTGTTGAAGGTTATGTAGCAATATTCAATTTTTTTTCATGTTATCAATATCTAACTAATCTAGTTGTAGCTGCGATACTTTTCTCTGCCTTCGGGAAAAGAATCTTATATTGATGAATGTGGACTAAACAACTTGCGTTCGATTTGTATATACAATGTAAACTATGTAAACAACATAGTTTACATTGCATATACAAATCCATCTTCGTGATAGATGAAGGACCGCAAAGAGTTGTTAATTGCAGAAGCTAAATACGTTGTATTGTTCTTGAAGAAAATCACAACAAATACGACGGAGGTACTATAATTCGTTACAGCATTTTAATTAGACGTCTCGAGATTTCAGAGTATTTTTCATTAAATCTTCTGAACTTCCGCTCTCATATAATAAATTAGAATATCACTCTTTAAATTCAAATAGTAAAATAAAGAAAATGAAATATTTCTTTTGGCCTAAACTATATACCTAATGCTGTGATAATTTGTAACAAACATATTTTACAACATAAAAGTCAAATGTTTATTAAGATTTAATAATACAGTTAAAAAACATAGTTGTTTTGATATAAAATAACGTGTCGAGTCGTATAATAGGGATGACGACAAATTTTTGTTTGTTTGTCCATCAGAAAGATTATTACAGAATATCAAACACGTATTTTCTTATTTTTTGCGTAAACAATAAATTACGGCGATACATTGAGTTGAAATGTCAAATGACGTCACGCTTTTGTACCTACATTTTCTGCAAAATTGACGTAGCGAGCTCCCACTCAACTTTAACGCCTATTATTTAAGCCATTTCCTATTAAATTGAAGCAAAAAAAATACTTATCTAATATTTTTCTATTGTATGACTGACAGACTAAAGAGAATTTTTTTTTTTTAATGGTTTTGAAAGCAGAAATGAAAAATAATCAATTATTCAAAGTATAATAATCAAAAGAAGGAAATGTACCCTCGTGTAGGTACATTTATAACGAATATTATGAGGCGTCAATGCGCATTTGTGTCAGTAATATAATATTTTGTTACAACAATACTTCTACGCTAACGTATTTGCGATGTGGTGGCTAGGACATGCGCGGGCGCCGTAACGCGTACAATGCCAGCCAGAGACGTGCCTTGCATCTGCTTACTGAGCGCGTCGGTTTCCAGTGAAAATTCCACCTTAATATCGTATCTATCTCTATTTATTGGACATTTTTCACTTTTAGAATAATCGTTAACCGCATTCGTTTCATTCGAATGATATTTTTATAAAGAATGATTCCCAGCACTTATTCAATCGTACAGCTAATATTCTTCATCTTTCTCCAGCAATACGTAAGCCCTACACTACTCCAGATAATCTTGGGTATGTAGAATGCCAATATCGCCTTGAATAAGTGTTTCTTGTTTTTAAACGCTCTCTTAACCATCGTTGCTTTCATTATTTTTATTAGTAAAACAATAATATCATTGCTACAGTCTTTATTTTACGTGTTATTGTATACATAAAAAATGCTGGTAAATAGTAATAGATACATGCACACAAAATAGTATAAGAAAATTGGCAATATAAGTTATTTTCTTTTCTCAAAAATGTCGTAGTAAAATCTAAACTATTCATCCAATTCATTTGGTGTAAAAGACAATTTTTATGTAGATTAAATTTCTTTGAAGATATTCATTTATTTTGATAAACATTTAATATCACCTACTTAAATAATCGTCTGAAGACGGACAAAAATTGAAATACATTTATACGATTTTTTTTTCAACTTTTGTGGCATAACCTATCTAGCACATAGATATATGCCATTGCAGATTTTTTATAGATAATTTAAAGTTATCCATCAATAATCCTGACTAAGAATTACCTGTATACCAAATTCCATCAAAATCCGTTCAGTAGTTTACAGGCTCAGGCCGGTTTCAAGGGTCAATGTAAAAATAACTTTTTTTATATTGTCTCGGGTCTGTATTGAATTATCTTCATTGTTTCAGATTACCATAATACAAGTGTTTTAGCTACTTAATTTTGGGATTTGAGCAATATATATCGTGTTATCTAATATTAATATTTATTTATTAATTTAATTGTTTCAAAACTATATGACCTATTAAATTAAAATTTGGTACACATATGTAAGTCAGTAACACAAAGACGAACGTGTAACGTAAAAGTGAATTTTAAACACAGGTCCATTTGATTGTGTGCTTTTGAAATGAAAGTGCTTATTTTTATAATATTAAAGATAATTTATTTAGAAGTTAGATAATATTCATCTGATATTGTTCTTTTCTGCAAAACACACTAAATATTTTTTCAATGTAGGCTGTCAATTGCCAGCAAACGAGAAGTAACTGTTTAAACCACTAAGCGAAATAAGAACACAAAAAGTATTTAACTCGCCATAATATGATTAATAATATACATTTTTTAATTATTATAAAAGCAGTTGTCGTACGATTTTTTTAAATCGATCTCCTTCGAACCAGATCACGGACTAAAAAATTAACATGGAGACACGGAATACAACAAAAATAGTGTATATTCATTCGAATGTTATACAGACGATACACTGTTCACAGTATCCCATTACATATTGGAGGTTTAATGTCCAAATCAGTCATAAAACCGATACTTGTTCGTTTAAAGTTTTGGTGAAAAATCGACTGTCTTATAAAGAAACACACCATTAATTAAAAGTCAAAGCGATTGTAGTTTGCTTATCCTTGAGTGATAGCAATGGTTGTTCTGAATGACTTTTAGCTCAAAGCGTTCAAATATCTCACAGTGCGCACCTAAATTCAATTAAACTTTTTTGTTTGTTTCATTAAGAGTAATGATTCTATTTACCGGGAGTTACAAGTGAATACTTATTGTGTTGTGATATATCCGCTAGCATGGCTTCGACGCACGCCTTTTCTGAGTCTAGCCCTCGCTCGATAGTGATGTCAATTAGGCCCTTTGGGGGCTAGATCTAACCCTTTTCAACCCTTAATAAAATTATTTAGCCCTTAGCCATTTCCTGGCACCAAAAATCTGTAAAAAATTCAAACAAAACTTTTCGAAACTAAAAGTACTCAAGCGTAAGATCTGCCAACACTTACTTCAGATGTCGATAATTTCCTGAAATCGATTACGAACTTATAACGTACGTACAATACGAGTTCTATCTAGTGATAAGTGACGATGTTGCTAAAAAAGAAATATTCATTAATTACTTCTTTTGTTTTTATCAAGACAGCAATTTAACCCTTTTTTGTATTATTGGTCAAATGTGTCCATAATTGAATCATAATTTAGCCCCAAAACTTGTCACCTTATTGGCAACACTGTCCTTTGGAATCCATAACAGTGTAAGGATTGCTTGCTGTGAGTCACTAATCCCAGCCTGATATCGTATTTAAATATTCTTTGGCCCTTCGAGCCGGATTTGAACCACCTATGGATTGCTGTGTATAGTATTTTGGCTGGCAATCATGTCAGTGCACACACATCATTCAAAAGCTTAACCCTCCGAACCTACAACGAGCCGCCAACCCGTTTTATATCGTAAATCTACTAAGTGAGCTTCTGTGATTCTGGTCGTTAGTAATCTCATTTATTGTTGTTCTTCACTCAGTTATGAAGACCAGTATTTATTTGCGTGCTAGCAAATTCAATCCTAATGATACTAAACATGAAAAATAAAGCACAAAATGGTCTACGTCCAATAATACGCTGCTTTCATTTTCATTCAAAATATCCTTCTCTGGAATATCGATTGACTATAATTAGGGCCAACTA